CCCTGGGGTCACCCCAGGCTCTGCTTGCCATGGGGTGATGCCGTCCCCGTGTCCCGTCTGTCCCCCCCCAGGACATCATCCTGAAGCGAGCGGCAGACATTGCTGAGGCTCTCTACAGCGTCCCCCGCAACCCCAGCCAGCTCTCCTCGCTGGCCAGCACCCATGGCCCCGCCGGCATGATGGGGGTGAACTCCTTCGGCAGCCAGCTGGCCGTCAACATCGGCGACTCGCCACAGGGCACCGAGCAAGGTGGGCCAGGGGCCACGCCAGGCAGCGGGAGGGGATCCCTGCCCACCCCGTGCCACCCCCGGCCCCTCTCGCCCACAGGCTACTCCCGAAACACGGGCAGCGTCTCACCGCGGGGCTATGTGCCCAGCTCCACGCCGCAGCAGAGCAGCTACAGCAGCACCGCCGGCATCAACGGCTATGGCAGCGGCACCATGGCCGGCCTGGGGGTGCCCGGCTCCCCCAGCTTCCTCAACGGCTCCACCGCCAACTCCCCCTATGCCAGTAAGTCAGTGCCCCAGGGTGTCTCCAAAGCCACGTGCCAGCCCCGGGGTGTCCCCAACACACTGCAGCAGCCCAGGGTGTCCTCAAAGCCGTGCACCAGCCCCGGAGTGTCCCAAAGCTGTGCACCAGCCCCAGGGCATCCCCAACACCATGCACTAGCCCTGGGGTGTCCCCAGTGCTGTGCACCAGCCCCAGGGTGTCCCCAACGCCGTGCACCAGCCCTGCGGTGTCCCCAAAGCCGTGCACCAGCAGCCCTGGGGCATCCCCAACATCGTGCACCAGCCCCGGAGTGTCCCAACGCTGTGCACCAGCCCTGGAGTGTCCCCAACACTGTGCACCAGCCCCAGGGTGTCCCCAACGCCGTGCACCAGCCCTGCGGTGTCCCCAAAGCCAGTGGCAAGGGCAAGGGGGAGCGGGGACACAGCCAAGACAGCCTCAGTCCTAGCCCTGGCCCTTGCAAGCTGGGTCCCACGTGGCGTCACCGGGATGTGCTGGCATCCCACCTGGGGAGCGATGCCCCGTCCCCAGCTCTGCCCAGCCTGAGTGGGTCTCTCCCCGCAGTCATGCCCGCCAGCCCCCCGCTCGGCGCCTCCTCCATCACCCTCCCGTCGGGCACCAACGCCTCCACCCCCACTGGGGTCTTCTCCTTCTCCCCCGTCAACATGATCTCGGCGGTGAAGCAGAAAAGCGCCTTCGCCCCCGTGGTGCGGCCGCAGACCTCCCCGCCGCCCGCCTGTGCCAGCACCAGTGGCAGCAGCCTGCAAGGTGAGCCCAGTGCGGGCAGGGCTGCCCTCGCCTGCCCAGGGGCTCCAAGCCCACCCCCAGATCCCCCTTGCCCCACAGAGGGGGTCGGGGGTCCCGGTGGCACCGTGCCCAAGCAGGCTGCTTGCCTGCACCCCTGCCTGACTCCATGCCTCCGCCCTGCACCGCGGGGATGGGTGCACCGTGCCACCCTCGTCCCTGTCCCCCCCTCCCCGTGCCCACCGCTCACCCACCCCCCCGCCTCGGCTCACCCTCTCTCTCTGCCTCCCTCCCGCTCTCCCGCTGCCCAGACCCGGCTTTCGAGGACTCGGACAAGTTCCACACGCCTGCGCGGCCGCTCCAGGGACTGGCCTATTCCTAAGCACAGTAGGTCCTGGGATGCACTGGCCCCAGAACCCCCCATCCTGCTGGGACGGGCAGGGGGAGTGGGGCCAAGGAGGCCAGGGATCCCCCGCCCCGGCGTGCCCACCCCTCACCTTCCCTTGCAGCCGTGCCCGGCCACCTCGTGCCACCCACGGGAGCCGGGACGGTGCCGGAGCCGCGACACGGAGCAGGACTGAGTGTGGCCTCGCAGCCCGGTGGTACCGGCCCCTCCAACCCGCTCCCAGGGGCTCCCGTGGGGATCGGGGCGCACGGGGCTGTGGGACCCACCACCCCGCTGCCCTGCAGCCTCCCCAGCCCAGCCCCACGGAGCTCGGCCCCCTCGCAGGGGGGTGACCCTGGCCAGGACCAGCATCAGCGTGGCGTGACGTGGCTCGGCTTGGCACGGTTCAGCTTGGCGGGCAGCCCCTCCTGGGGCCAGAGCCTTGGGGGGAGCCCCAGGAATGACCCAAATGCTCTGGGTTTAGCCTCAGAAAGACACTGAGAGACCCGTGGGAGTGTGGGGCAGCGGCAGCCGTGGGCAGGATACTCCGAGGCGGGAGGGATGGATGCTCCGGGGCAGGATGGATGCTCGGGGGTGGGATGGATGCTCGGGGGTGGGATGGATGCCCCGGTGGGACCCAGCTCCCACCCCTTACACTTCCCGGCTGTCTCACCACCGTGGCCGTGGCCGGCGCGCTCTCTCTCCCCAGATGTGCAGCTCCACATCTGGAGCCGCCCACCCGCAGCTCCCGGGTGGCTGAGGCCGGATCTCTGCCTGCGCCCCGCGCCCCCGCGCAGGATCGGGGCCTCGGCACCGCCCGGGTGGGGGGTCTGGGCTGCCCCGGCCCACCGAGCCAAGCCACCAGCATGGGGATGGCACAGCTCCCGGCCCCATCAGCTGCCGAGGCTGGCTGCCACAGGACACAGCCGCAGCTCTTTTCTCATTATTATCATTATTATTATTAATATTAACATAATTATTATTTTTAGCAGCAGGTGAGTCAGTGGGTGGGGGCTTTGGAAGGGCAGGCAGGAGACCCCTGGCCCTGGCACTGCCTGTTCCTGCTGGGGTCTTCCCTGTCCTCCCAGCCGGGAGGGAGCAGCCAGGAATTTTGTAAATAAAAAAAAAGGGAAAAAAAAAAAAACCAACCCCACTCCCCCCGGTCCGCATCTCACCCATGGGGGCGGCCCGTGTCCCCCCCTGCCCTTGTCTTGTGCCGCTGTGTGCCACAGTGATGGTGACGCTGCCATGCCCTGCTCAGTGTCAGCACGTGTGTGTGTCCCCCGTGCTGCCCCCATTGCCCCTTGCTGGGCGCTGGGTCCTCACCCAATGGCCCCAGCCCCTGCCTGGGGTGACCATGGGGGTCCCAGGGCCAGGGGCACCCCCCCGCCTGCCCTTGGGGACAGGGTGCCCCTGCCGTGGTCCCGGTCCCCCCACAGCAGTGGTGCAGGACAGTGGTGCCGGGGTCCCTCGGAGCAAGGGGGGCGCTTTCTGACATGGAAATAAAAGGCCTTGCAGAAGGGCACCGGCTCTGGGGGGTCTGTGAGTGGGGAGGGGGTGACGTGTGGGGACACCCCCAGGGACAGTGATACCGGTCCCGCAGCAGCAGGAGTGTGTGGGGGTCCCACATACAGCCCCGGGGGGGG